TCAAGTTGCAACATCCCTCTCGATCTTAAGATGCCTCGAGGAGCAGAATTCGACAACGGAAAACCTCAGTCCGACAACCCTATCGAGGCCGGACAGGACAAAGTGCATGGAGGTACAAAGGTATGTGCATACGATGCAAGACACTGAAGGACTACCTGCACAGCACATCTCAAGCCCCGTCCCAAAACGACAATGCTCGCGCGATTCTTCCCCCAGATCATAGTATCGCTAGCACCTTCACTGACACACCACCCCCCCCCCCCCCCCATGTTATTTCTAGCCCACATACGAAGCCGACCTCGCTGGCCCCAAAAAGGCCGCACCTCTACCGGAAGGCATGGACGAGATGAACGACCGCACCCTCAGCGGCGGCGCAGCCCCAGGACACGAGAGCGGAAAAGGAGGACACGGGCCCCGGACGGGCGGAGAGCATACGGGCCTCGGTGCCCACAAGGACCTGGGCACGGCGGATCCGCATCTGAAGGACCTGAAAGATGACAGACAACCTGGGGGGAGTTGAATAGATGAAGACGGAAAATAGTGTCGAGGAGATAGACAATCCGTGCCAAGGAGTTACCATAGGACTCAGTTGGCATGCCCTCCTTGTCTGTTAAAATCAGTCAAACAACAGCACGCGCTCTGCAATCTCATGCAAGTGTAGTGTAACCCGATGTTCTCCACAAGTCTATGACACATCTATATGTGATATGGGGAAGAAAAAAAATAATAGCCGCCTCCCTGTGTATAGCATGCTCACTCCTCCCCCCCCAAGACTATGTGTGTAGCTACGTCGCCACCGGCTCCCTCGACACAACAGGCGTCAGGCCTTCGCGACTTTCTCTACTCTCTTCCCCGAAGGCACCCTCTTCGTCCTTGACCACCTCGGGGGCAGTCCACCCCGTCCCGGCTTGGACCAGGAGCATGAAAATCGCCCAGACGCCGCCGGCCATGTAGATGGAGCGCAAGGCGGTCTCATAACCCGCGAGGGCGACCTCCCTATCGACACCGGTGAGTCTTTGAACCAGGATCGGCGTGCCGACCAGCTTTCTGATCAGCTCAGCTTTCTGCGCGAGGTCGACTCCTCGGTCCGCAAAACCCCGTGTCAGGGACTGCTGCAGCGTGCGCAGAAACAGGCCACCCGCCACAGATGACCCGAACGAGCCTGACAGGCTGCGGAACATGGCGTTCAAGGGGATCACGATGACGTGCGTGGTCGGGTGGGTCAGGTGCAGGACGTGCGCGAGGCTGTAGTTCAGGAGGGAGCCCACGATGAAGCCGTTCAGGAAGAGCACGAGGATGTACAGGTAGATGTTCGATGTGGGAGTCGAGATCCAACTGACGGCGAACATGGATAAGGAGAAGAGCACGAAGGTGACGATGCACGCGAGGTAGAAGGACCCCGTGCGCCTGATATGCAGCCACCCCGCAAGCAGGCCGCCGAGCCCGAAGCCCAGATTCGTCGGGATGAGTGTCAGGCCGGCTTTGGTCTGTGGCCAGTTTCGCAGCGTGAGCACGTAGGTGGGCGTGTAGAACAATACGCCCCAACGCGCCGTCATGACGCCGACGGTGGCGATCCCCGTCAGGATATTTCCCCGCGAACGGAGCACGGACATCGGCACGATGGGCTGGCTTGCAAAGGTCGACTCGATGAGGAGGAAGAGGACGAATGACGCGAACGAGAGGATGATGGGCGTGATTTGAATGTGCGGAGACGAGAGGCTGTACAGCAGAAGCACGACCGCGGCGATGATGCTGAGCACGCCCAGGTAGTCGATCTGCGCGAGTTTCTTTCCCAGCGATTCGGATGACGACCCCTGTGCCAAAGCTGTCCTGGGCTTGGGGATGGCGAAGAACGCCACCGTCACAGCCGACAAAGCGAAGGGAATCTGCAGCCAGAAGACGGCGCGCCAGCCGACCAGCGGTTCGAGGGCGCCGGCAATGATCGCTCCACAGGCCACCCCCGTCGTGTAGCCGGTGTTGATGCAGCCAAAGAAGAGGCCTCTTCGACGCGGGCTGGTCAGCTCCGTCACCAAAATGAAAGCCACAGGCGTGACGGCCGCACTGCCAATCCCTGTCACGGCGCGACCGGCGAGAAACATGGCCAGCGACTTTGCACGCGAGGTGACCAAGAGGCCGCACGACTGCACCATGATCGAGGCGAGCAGATAGACTCTGGGGCTGAAGATGGTGCACAGTCGGCCCGCAACCGGGGTGATGCTCGTGACGGCGATCAGGTAGGCGGACGTGAACCAGCTGACTTCGCTGGAGGCGTCGAGCTCCATGGCGATGGGCGACTGGATGGTGGTGATGAGCGAGACATTGTTGGTCAAGATGAAGATGAGGACCCAGACGGAGATGCAGATGAGAAAGCCGCGCAGAGAAGAGATTCCCTCGTCTTGCTTTTGTTTCAGGGGGCCGGGCGACGACGGTGAGTCTCGTGATGATGGCTCCTGTGTGGTGTTAAAGCCGTTGTTGTTGTTGGCTGAAGAAGAGGATAAGAGAGGCGTCCTCTCGGACCGGACATTGTCCCCCGTCATTGACGTTGCTGGAAAATAAAGAAAAAAAGGGCTCCTAGCGCCTCAGAATAAAATTGCTCTTCAGCATAGCATGGCAATGAGAGAGATAAAGAATGGACGAAAGTGTGGTCGTGTAGTTTACGCAATGAGCTATCGAGCCTATACAAATCAACCACCAATAACACAGTTGAGATGCTGAGATGTTGAAATGCTGACAAAAAGGCGTCCGTCAAAGCGGCCGAAGGACATCGGCTCTCGGTCTCAGCCTCGACGGGGCAACTCGAGCGAAGAATGGAGACAAATAACAGATGAGTAAATATGCAGAATCTGCGGAAGGCCATCCTTCCGGGCATTGCCGTCCAATGGTATCGATAGGGTCTGTGGCACTGATTGCGTGGCGGCAATACACTGGTATATTTGTATACCGTTCGGGATTATCTGAACGAGTGACGAGCTGGCCGCTACAGGCCTTTTGACATTCTGTGAGAGTGTCGCCCTCCGCTTCACTCGGCACACTCTGCTTTCCTAGTCTCAAAGACCTTCAGAGCTTCCTCCGCAGCTTTGACACCGCTCAAGACCATGGCCCCAAAGGTCGGACCCATGCGATTGGCGCCATCTAGTTCACTCAGCTCCATGCCGCCCATGATCAAGCCCGGCGACACCTCGCGAGTGCCCTTGACAATGGCATCCTCGGCACTGTTCATGTCGAGTGCACGCATGCCGCCCAGTTTCTCAACCGCATTCATGCTGACCAGGCGCTTGGCGCAGAAGGCTCCGAAGGGTCCATCGTGGCCAGTGGTGCTGATGACTAGTGGAGCATTGATTGTGCTGAATTTACTGTTAGTAGACCTCTAGAGCAATGGTAGGTTATGTGAAACTCACTTGGGGTCCATGCAGCTATGGTTATCATGGTGCAAGGTGACCAGCGTCCAGTTTGTCACCACGCCAACCACTCTGACACCGCCATCGGCAGACGGACGGGTGACCAGATCTTCAACGCAGGTGGCGTTGAACAGCTTGACATTTGGCATGGCCAAGACCTTGCTCATCAGCGTGGACATGAAGAGTGCGGCGTGCTTCACAACCACATAGTTGCCTTCGTCCTCATACGGCACGTCGATATCATTGAGAAAGGCTTCGGCTGGTTTGCGCAGTACCATGGCCGAAAAGAGCTGGCCACCCAACCAGCAGCCGCCTCCGGGACTGACGGAAGCCTCAATAACGGCGATTTTCAGGTCTGGTCTCGCCTTTGCCAAGGTGTAGGCGGTGGAAAGTCCGCAAGAACCCGCGCCGACAATGACCACGTCCGACTCGGCATATCGGTCCAGGTCGGCAAAGTAGCGTCGAGTCATAGCTCGAGAGACCTGGGACTCGCGGATGGGAGCAAATTTGAAACCGTCCCATTTGCCGCCGAATTGTTCAAGCAGACTGTTGTTGTCGTGTTCGTTGGCGGCCGTCAAGGCTACCTTTTTGGCTCCAAGGGCGCCTTCTCTCATCTGTTTGGTACCGGCGTAGCCTTCAAACTCGTTGAAAGTGGCAATTGGTGGAGACATTGTGCAAGTCCTGCATCGTGTTAGGAGAATTCTGACAAGCTGTCAGGGAAAGGGAGAGAGATCGCATAATCCTTTCGCTGGTATTATCCAGATCAAGTTAAACCGTATGATCTCAGAACGTAACTTTTCCCGATCCAGCAAAAGATTTGCCATCTCCAGATCCCCATCGAGGACTCGGTTGGATGGCAGACCAGGGCTTTGCCGGCCAGGAAAAGTTGCGAACACCGGTTCATGCGCAGACATCCTCATGTCTGTGAAAAAGTGTACCTTGACCATGATGGCTCTTGACCGAGCGAGACGATAGCATAGCGATCTCCATCTTTGCCAAGTGAGATTTACTCTGAAGGTGATGGATTGGATATGATATGGACCTGATATTGTCAGCATGGAGTCCAGATTAGTGACCAAAGGTAGGCAGGGGATGGAGGGAGCGAAATACTTCGAAGAGATGGCGAATCGGTTGCAAGGCCAGGAGATTGCGAAGAACGCGTAGAGCGAAATGTGGCAGGAGAAGCAAAGTCAGAAAGAATTGATGGAAGATGTGAGAAGTGAGAGGAGGAATTCGCGGATTAATAGAAGGAACTTAGCTATATATGAAGTCAGAGACAAGGAGGGGCTGGCGAGGGGCAAGTGGACCTCCCTCAAACCGTTATCGGATCACATCCAGCCAATTGGCATACGAACCTTAACATAACAGTAACACGTGATTGATACTCGACTTCGCCCGAGGATGCTGCCAATATAAGTGGAGGATGAAAACAAACGAAGCGAAACAGAGAACATGGGTTGAAAATGGATCTTGAGTCCAAGTCGTTGAATCATTGACCACTTTTTCTATCCTATTCTTTCCCATCCATCTTTCTCTTCACAGCCACAACAACTTGGTTCTACTCAGGCGGATGTCATTCACAAGTCCACCCCATTCTATCAGTTAGCCCCTCGACGGAGCATACTTCCTCTTCGCAGCCGGCAACCGTTCCACAATCCTGGGCACCATGTACTCTTTGTCCCATGTATAGGTGACGCTGGGATGCTGCATACACAGTTTCGCCCATGTCGCGAAGCGTGGCCATTTGCTCGTTGCGGGGTCGTTGTCCAGAATTTGTGTCGCGAGGCGAGCCGGAAAGATGATGTCGTTGGAGAAGTCGATCAGGCGGACGATGAAAGGGGCTGACATGACCTACCATGGAAAGCGCATGTCAGAGGAATGACAACTCTATGCGAGATTGGGGCTTAGAAGCGAGTATAAGTATACACACCTCGACAATTGTCAGTTTATCACTTCCTCCAAAATACGGACCCCGGCCATTCACAGCCACGTCGGAAAGCAATATCTCAATCTCCGTCTCCAGAAGTCGCCAAATCTCTTCCACGATTTTATCCTGTGGCTTTCCCGTGTCTGCACCCACGAGTTTAAACATGAGTGGGTTGATCTTGGTGAAGTAGGTGTCGATGAAGAATGACATTCTGTAGCGCAGATGGGCTGCCTCGACTCTTGCTGTGAGGGCAGATTGGGTTGGAAAGCCTAAACCAAGACCGGGAATTGTGGGTAGAAGATGGGACGGATAGAGATCTGTAAAGAAGGACACAATTTGGGCAGATTCGGTGAGTGTGAGAGTGTTGGCGGAAGAGTCGGAAGAAGAAGGCGGAGGCGTGTACTGGAGGACAGGGACAAGACCGCGCTGGTGAAAAGTTCAGTTAGCCCCGTCTAAAAACATTACTAACCGCTGATATAGAAATATGAAGATGGAAAAGAAACAGCCGCAGTTCATCACACTTGTTTTAAGGGGAGGCGGGCATGGCAGAAAGGGGAACAGGCAGAAGACCTCAGCATATTCCGGGACCAAGAGAAGTAGCATCCACTGTAAAGATCAATTGCATGCCGAATAGTAAGACCAATCGTGTTGATGGCGCCACAGGGTTGGTGGGATAGCTGAGCCCATCAAAGACGGAAAGCGACAGCCACATCAAGACAAGGTACAACTCATAGTGATATTCCCGTGCACAGAACGCATAAGCCAATGTGTAACCTCAATGCATCAAGCCCCGATTGCAACGGGGTCCAGTATCCCCAGTATAAAGCGGATGTAGGAGGGCACTTACCGGATTCAGCTTCAGGAACCACTCCGGCCTCGGTTCATCCATGTTGATCAGGACCTCCTCGTACTCTAGCCCGAGCTCTCGCAGGACAATATGGACACGGTGGGACCAGCCGCATCCATGGTTCGTGAAGAACTTGATCTTGGCCTGCTCTTGCTGTTCTGCACCTCTATTGGCGGCACCGGCCGGAGCAGGAGCGAGGGATGTAGATCCTGAAGACATGGTTTCTTTGCTGGCATGCAACAATAAGGAATAGAAATAAGAACTGAGATGACCAGATGGATACCTAGGTCAACGAACTGGACAGTAGCTTGATGCGGACAGCGCTAGGTAGGTATCGAGAATGCTAGATTAGGAACCCACGAAGAAGAGAGAGAGAGAGATGAAAAGGAGGGGAGGGAAAAGCCGGTATTTGTAGACCGCAGGACCCAGGTAAGATTGAGCTGTACAGCTGTTTTCCCTGCAGCGTTTTAGGCTGCAGGAACGGACGAAACTTCGACCGAAATGCTGCATGCGCTATTTAACTTTTTGGAATAGGTTTCAAGTCTCTCACAGTGACGCTGCGTTCGGTGATTTTAATACACGTCTGGTGGTTCAAACTCCATCGCGGAGCATGGTGGGAAGGGAGTGTCGATTGTTGGCGACGAGGCTGCGAGTCCCTGAAAGTTGTCAGTCTGATGGCCGAAGATCTCAGCACGGCTTTTGCCAACCTTCGCTTATCCTCGAGCCTCGTGGGTTGGGCTGGAGCAAGACCGGAGGCAGCCGAAGTCGGATATTTGTTTCCCCGGACAGCTACTACATCCAGGGGTAGTTCAGCTTCATTTCGTTGGCAGCATCATTATCTTCGGTTGTCGAATATGCAGGAGCACTTATCACGGTTCTTGATCATCCCAGTGAGCGTCCAGTAGATCTTGGTCATGATTATGTACATACATCTCGTGATGGTTGTGTCGTTCAATTTTGACCCTCTTCTGTAACGGAGGTCTTCCCCATCCACGCCTAGAGAACGAATTACCCGTTTACAACATGGCAAGTCCACCGCCCCTCTAGCCAGCCATTTCGCTACACTATATGATATCATGTGTACCTGCAGATTCTCCCAACTTGCACTAGATCAACATCAACATCCGAGCGACAATACCACTTCGGTAGAGCGAGCCAGTCGATGCTGGGCGTCACCGCCATTTCCAGATCGCAAATGTCGGGAACTTTGTTGCTGAAGTCGACATTCCAACCAAGGTGAATTTCGGGGTTAGACACGCTAAGAGGCACGCGTTCGTGATGCAGCCGTAAGTGATCAGCCGAATAGTCGTGTTGGGGACGAACGAGGCCAGAAAATGTCCCGACAGGACGATAGCTGCGCATTTCCATGTCGCAGAACCTGCCAGGGATAGAATCGTGTCGGATGGTGATGGCTTGGTGGAAGCCAGGGAAAGAGGCGGGCTCTGCACCTTTGGAGTGGTCGATTCAAGGTCTGTGGTCTCCCTTGTATCTTCGTTTGATGGCCGAGATTCCACTGAAGGGGAGGTGGTTGGATTTGGCCGAGCCTTCTCCTCTAGCAATGGCCGCTTGCAATCCTCAATCTCCCTCTTGAACGCCTGCATCTGGTTCTGCAGTTGCCTTATCTCCTCCATGGCATGATTGAACCGTTTCTGCCATAGCAAATCCGGATTCTGCAAATATGCTGGTGGTGGTGTGACTGGACTTCTTGAAAGATCAAGTCCGCCAACCCGCTTGCGAGCGACGATGGAAGAGTTAGGAGCGCTGATGTTGCTTCTTGGCGGTTGAACGGTCGGGTAGTTCACTTTGGCAAAGGTGTAGTCTGACATCATTGGAGAGCCCCAGGATGCGGTGGAAGAAGAGACGCCTGAGAAACCCTCGTCTTCAAATCGCCAGGGGATGTTCTCGAATGTGGTTTTAAGGGACGAGATGAGAAGCTCATCCTTCATGATGGCCGGTCCAGTGTCCAAACGGAGTCTTGTTGACGCAGTGTTGTAGTGTGGCTGGCAAAGAGCAGTTGGAGTCCCGTTTGATGCTTCCTGAAGCCGTCCCAGCGCCTCTTTTATCAGTGGCAGGACATGAGATAAACCCCAATCACCAATAGCCTGGGTCCAGACCAGAAACTTGCTGAAATGTACGTCCTTGCTGAGATCAAACTGACACAGCGGGGCCATGCAGTAAGCTTGCCCTTGTTCGAGATCAATCCAATGCAAATTCAGCAGCGCAAAGCTATTGTCGATGGTGCATGAAAAAGAGACTGGCAACTCGTTAGGAGCCGTCATTGACCCGTCGTTCGGATCCTTTCGCGCCCGCGTGTATAGCATCTGTAGGGCACGTGTGCAGTAAGCGCCTGCGATGGCACATTGGTTGTTCGCCGATTCTACGCGCTGCTTCTTGTTCCCATAGGCGCGCTCGAAGGTCAGAAAGGGACAATACAGCGAAGCTCCAGGGGCAATGTATCCCGTTTCGAAATGCACGATTGTCCCTGTTGCTTGGAGCCACTGAGGCATTATGGCCAACTCTTTGTTTGTGAAGGCTGCAGCGGAAAATCCGCATCCCAGACCAGGACGAGGAACCGATAGTTCGTAGAAGGGCGCTGGATGATTAATCGTTCGTTCTGGAAGGGCTTCGCGACTGCCAAAGAATGGGACCATGCATCGCGAATGAGATTCGTTCGCCAACGGTGGCAGCAGATTCGGTGGAAATATCGGGGAAGGTCCAAATCCTCGACCCGTTGTAACCTGGTTCCAAAAACAGTTCTTTTGGATGTCGAAGTGAGATGTGTCTTGGCTTGCAGCTTCCACGATCTGCAGGAAAGCCGTCGGTATGCGGTCTTTCGGTGGACTGTCGAGGATGTGAATTTTGTGCGGTGCTAGGACTTCTTGTCGGAAAGTACACCATGGCAAGTGACTTCCGTCGTAGGAGGCAGGTGGCAGGCCACCAGAGGAGGGCGATGAGTTCGATGAGCCGCTTGTAGAAGACATTTTGCAGCAGAGGATCGGTATTCGAGTCCAGGCTTTGCGAAATCCAGAGCTCGCTAATCCCACAACCGGAAAGAGAGACGATGAGAGCTATCGACTTTACTGCATTGAAGAAGTGTAGTAGCAGTGGATGAATGGATTGCACATTGGGAAAAGGCGACAAACGGCGCAGACGAAAGAATAGAGAGGAAGTAGTCAGAAAAAACAGTCGTGGAGTCGACCAGGAACTTCATAAAGCAAGTACGTGAGGCGATAAAGCCATAACCCAGAAATGCAATAGAAAGCACTGTCTTGCATGAATGGACGTCCTTACATACCTACCTACCGTTAAATTGTCGCTAGCATTGACCGAAAAAGCCAGGCTGAGGAAAATCAGGTGCTCCCATTGGTTTCAACCTCTGGCTATGCTCGGCACTCCTGAAGAGATGGAAGTATTGGTAAAGCCACGGCTCAAGGCGGCTCTGGCAGCAATAACACTCGACAGTTTGATTGCAGGTGGCAGTTCATCACAAATAGCCCTGCAGCTAACTCGAAAAACTGGGGAGCCGCATTGTTTCAGATTTACGGAAAAGACATAAACGTGGGGAATAAGACCTCGCTTGCGCTCCGTTCCTTGCGGATGGAAAGACAATCTGGAGTAAGACTGTTGACGGCGATGGGCTGAGCGCTTCGAAGGTCGAGATGAAAACATTGTGGAATATATGGGGCAGTTGGAGGAAGGATTATTGGCTGTTCGAGGGTGGGCCCGCTGAAAATGGTCTAGCGGGTTATCCCCAGCGGCAAGACAGCCAATAGGCGAAGACAAGGCGGCGCCCTCCTTCGAACGCTCCTCACAGCGTATCTTGACTTCTTTCCAGCCCCTTGCCCTTCACACCGCCTTCTCAGCCTGAAGATTTCCATAATCCACACCTCGCAGGCCTTCCAAACAATCCCCTCACTACGACGTATACTCAGGTGATTATACGGAGCACCATGTCACAGGGGACGAGCTCTCTATTTGTGCGGGCGACATCCAGAGCCAATTTGTTTGCATGAAGGCAGGGACGGGATCTCTGCATTTCGCGACCACGTTATCTGAGTCAAATAAAGACATGAAGCTAATTTTTCATTTTCAAGGGATTATCATTATGGTCATTCGTTGTGATGTGGTGGCTCTTTTGGCATTTGCTTATTTTTGGATGCCAGATTACCTGTACAATCCTCCTCGAAATCTATCATTGCGCCCGTATCCATTTCGGGCTGAGCTCTACCAGTACACTTTTAATCGTCTCAAGCTTCCTCCTTGCAGGGCTCTGATTGCCAGGGGAACTTGTTACTGCATCCATTGACCCGTGTGGGAAGCTGTCTGACAAATATTCTCTTGCTGGTTCAAGCTGAACGAGTGCATCGAGGGTTTCCAGCAGAGTGAAGATCTGCTGGAGGCGACAATTCTCCGCCCACACAAAGATGCTGCCTAGCCGTGACAGCAGGTATTCCACGTCCCACTCATTGCAAAGATCATAAGTTCGGATTGGAGCCACCGTATGGGAAAATCCGCCTTCATAGCTGTGGAGATTCAGTGTCGCCATTTTGCTGCCTCCACCAGAGTTGTTATGGATCGAGAGGGAAAACGACTGCACGGATCTTCTTGGTGGCCAAAAGAAGTTTCGTCCCTGGCCTTGGATTGCGGTCTCATCTGCCGCTTCCGCGAGGAGTGCGAGCGCGTTATTGCAAGTCGACCCCGATCCCGCCGCTGCATTCTGTGCAGCCATTAACGAGTCCCGTTGTATTTCGACGTTAAAAAATGGCCAGAGTAATGAGTTGCTTCCGACTGTAGGTTGAGAGATCTTTGCTAGATTGCAGGGTCCACCCTGGGCATCCGAGATGATACCGTCCTGCAACTCGAGGTCATGCGACGTAAAGTTTTTGGAGCTGAAACCAACAGTGATGTTGGGCTTAGGGATGGGAAGTGGCATAGTCCATTGACTGTCTGAGACGCGTCCAACGGGGCTTCCCTTAGGCATAGCGTCAGGGTGGAAGGTCGCGTCAGTCTTGACTTGTAGTTTCTTCGATGACTTCAACGCGGTTTGAATGAGTGGGAGAAACGATTCTGCAAATTGCTTGTCGCTTATTCGGGACCTCTTCTGCATCTTCTGAACGAATTTCCGGGCGTCTGGATGGGACCGGTGGATGTCGTTAAAGGGCATGCCCATGCTAAATGCATGCCTGCTCCAGCGTTCATCGGAGAGTTGACTCTCTTCGACGTTGATGCGGTTCGGGACTAATGTGTGTTGTCGATAGTACGAGGAGGCAAAGGGGCTGACATGCTCAGGGCCTGCGATTTCTTTGATCGGCGAGTATGGACTGGTGACTGAAGATGGAGTGCTCGCCTGACTGGCCATTGTGGTCGTTTTGCCGAACTTGGAAGTGCGAACCTTTTGTTCAGTCTCGAGTGCTGATAACTGTTTCGTGTTGATTTTGTTGGTCCACAAATCATGGAGGCCGAAGCCCCCTCTATATATCTCTCCCGGGAGCCGTGTCTTGAGTGCTTCCATACCTCATGGAGGGATTGGACAAGAAGTTGTTAGTTCTGCCTCTGCAATAAGGCGCGTCTAGTGATTCTATTCATGGCCTCCTCAATATGTGCATTGACGCAATGATTGGTTCGTTGTGGTGGCTGCAAGCAATGAGATCCACATCTCTCGAGTAACGCCTTGTGCTTGCTATTTTTCATAGCCGTCGGCCCATCGGCCCATCTGGGCGCTTAAAATGAGATGCGATCTATTCCCAACGGTCGCTTCAATGTGGTGAGGGCAGTCCACGGCAGGCCAATCAGATGAACGCGCTTGATCCCAAATTATGGACCGCCTTAAGCTAAGAAGCGCCACACGGTCAAGAATAGTACTAGGTAGTACTTTTGGCGGTACAAGGGCAGCTAGGCAGATTGGGTACCTGACCAAGGTGGCCGTGCCTGGAGGGTACAATGAAGTAGCGGGTATGGCGGTCTCAATATCCTCAGCGCTTGTACGACGTGACCACCCGTGACAGAGGTCGCAGAACAGGTTGCCGAATTCGAGTGTCCACGGGCAGACTACACAGCGGCACGCTGTTGTTGGCTCAACGTGTGTAATACGCAGAGCAAAGGCCTTGAGGGCGGAAAGGGGCAACTCCACTTGTCTCCTGATCATTCTGTCCATGCGACAAGGAGATAATTCCAAACATTGCGACACCGGAACTGCTCAACTTCTAATCAGGGAACTAACGCACTGACTTGAGCAAGAATTCTGCTGCCCGTGTATTCTCGGCGTGGGACGTGCTCTCCGCCACAGTCTCCCAGACCTCATGCCCTTTCATAATACCTTCAAGCTCGGCCTTGACAACGGCCCAAGAATCGGCGCCTACAAGTAGGGCAAGTCTTAAAGGTGGAGTGATGTAATTCTTTTTGGATGCAAGCTCGTGGAGGACTTGAGCACGGACTGATGCATCACTCCACTGCACGGCGTTTTCTGCGCTGGTCAGGTATGCCCTGACCGCATTATATCCACAAGCTGGGTCCTCATAAGCGGGGTGCCGTGGAGGTAATACCATGTTCTGCGGAAAGTGGGTTGCAACAGCGCCGAGTTCTATTATGGTGGACTTGATGTTCCAGTCTGGGTGCATCTCTTTCGCAAGAGCATCTGTGAATCCTTCGAGGGCGAATTTGCTGGCATGGTAGAAAGCCGAACCAGCGGAACAAACCCCCCCCCAGGGGGGTTGGTTTCTCTCAGAATCGGCAGAGCCGCTTTGGTGACGTTGACGGCGCCCCAGAAGTTGGTCTCGAGCTGTGCCCGTGCATCGGCATCGGGTAGAACTTCAGTATCACCGGTCACACCAAACCCTGCATTATTGACCACAACATCTATGGAGCCAAACTTATCAACTGCAACCTGGACGATTCCGGCGACTTGGTCTTTCGAAGTTACATCGAGACGAAGTTTCAGGACTCTCGGGTCGTCAGGTAGGTATGAGAGTGTTTCGGGCTTCCGAGCCGTAGCTACAACGATAGACCCCGCGTCGTAGGTGTACTGTGCAAGAGCTTTGCCCAGTCCAGAAGAGCAACCGGTGACTATCACATTTAGCTCTCTCATTCTCTCTCTCTCAAAAAGGCATGCATACTCAACCAGACGTCCTCCTTTGCCATAGCTGTTATGCCTCCTGTGAACAATGTACAGGAACAACTCGAAACACAATAGTGTTAGGTTCTGACGTTCTTCTCACAGATAGCCACGTGTATATCTATTTTAGATCGCTGCGAACACGTTCTCGAACGCCCTCGTCTTTTAGGGTGGCAAAGGCCTGGTTGAGAGCCAATAAGAGATGCAGACCGATAAGACCAAGCTGCAACAAAGGGAGACACGCCAGTCATCGTCGAGGAATGGGTGTTGTGACGTGGCAGGTGAAGGAGAAGATGTTGAAGCTCGACATCGATCGGGCCTCTCCTCATTAAAGCCGTTCACGGCAAGTGCGCATGGGTGAGGAAGACATGCAAGATCGACCTCCAAGTTCTAGAAGAAACCTGGCTTGGCTGATCTCAATCTTCGTCAGAGTCATAATCGCCTAAACCCAGAGTAGGTGGCTTTGCAGGACCTGGTACTGGTGCTGGTGGTGATTTTGGTGTTGCAATAGGCTCGGTCCTGCGCACCAATCCGGGGATTAGTGGTTTCTTGATCTTTTTAATTCTCTCGAATGATGGATGCGGCTGCGAATGCTGGACGTGAGCAAGATGGCTGTTTGCGGGTGTCTGTTCTTGTTCCAGAAGCCTCGCTTTTTCAGCGTTGGCAGCCTGGAATGCTTTGCGGGCAGCTTCAGCGTCCTCTCGTTCTTGCCGCTCTCTCTGCTCTCTCTGGAGATCTCTCACTTGATTGAGAGCCTCCTCCTCCTTGCCACCTTTCTCGCCGCGCTCTATGCGTGCATTGCGCTGCATAATCTCGTCAAGGGCGTCTGCGACTTGCATCTCTCGTTTACTTTCTTCCATCTTCTGCTCCAGCTCCTCCATGGCGTTGCGTTCTGCATTTTCCTCCTCCTCGGCTTCCTCTCTCTCCAGTCTATCCAGGCGCTCCTCGTCAGTCTCTTTCAGCTCTGGATTTTGGGGGTCTCGCCATGACTCAAAGTTTCGTTTCGCGCCTCGTTCACAGGTGTAATCCATGTTCTTAGGGTCGGTCTTGAAGGTTATCTCGGAGGAACATCTAGTGCAGCGGATGTAGAAACGGTAGATAGAAATCGTCAAGTACTTCTCGTCGGTCGTTTCCTTCCGGGCGTTGAACTTGCGGCCCTTGTAGATATATTCGCCACAGGATGTGCATTTCATGCTGAAGGGAGCCATGAGGCGGACAGGGATGGTCTTGGGACCTGTCGGCCGGAGGTGTTTGGGGGTCCGAGCGATCTTGGAGGGATCGAACTCCGGAGGGTAGTACTTGGTGAGCACCTTTCGTTCAGACATGTCGACGACTTGCCAGATGGGAAGAGGGGTGCCTTGGCTGCCTTGACGGTGGAGGTGAAAGTGGGTGGAAGAACGAAATAAATCAGACGCCGCAGGCCAAACAATACTTTAAGTACCAGCCAAACCAGCAGCCAATCGGAGGTCGAGTTTTTCCGCGCCTCGCTCCCTCCCCACGTACGAGTATTGTATACTCTCTCTTTTTTGTAACAACCGCGCAGTCACGCCCACGGACGCAGTGAGAACAAGGCGAGATGGGTTTTTGGAAAGAGTGTTTCCAAGCGATTGCCCTTGCTCCGTAACCGTTCTCTTCCTCTTATTCTTACCTCTTCACCAACATTCCTACTGATGCATTTCCACACGTCCTTTCACGGTCACTATTCACCACAACAATGGACAAATACCTCCGAGTGTGGCGGCAAGACGCTCTCAACAAGGGCCAGCACGATGCTGCCATCTATATTGGAGACAAAGTCCTTGCTCTGACGAGTATGTGAGTTCACTCATCCAGCCCGTTGCCAGAGCTGATCGATTCAGACAATGACGCCGACGCCTTCTGGCTGGCTCAAGTCCATTTTGGCCACAACAACTTTACCCGTGCCCTGGCTCTACTGCTCCGCAAGGACCTGATCAACCGAAGTCTCTCGTGTCGATACCTTGCTGCCCATTGCTACGTCAAGCAAGGCAGATACGACCAAGCCCTCGCAATTCTCGGCGAGGAAAATCCTACCCACTTGATCACCGCTTCCCACAATGCCAGAAGAAAGCTGGCACATATCAATGGCCATTCCCAGAGGAATATCACACAAAGAGGAGGCAAAGCCCAGCGAGACAGGATCGAGTTCAGCGAAGAAAGAGAACGAGACAGAGAGTCAGAAAAGGAACTCAAATTCCAAGCGGGCATGTGCTATCTACGCGGCTTGTGTTTTGCGAAGCGCAATGCCTTTGACCGGGCACGCGACTGCTACAAGGATGCCGTTCGAATAGACGTGCAGTGCTTCGAGGCTTTTGATCAGCTTATGAAGAACTCCTTGATGTCTCCTTCCGAGGAGTTGGCCTTTCTCGAAGAACTCGATTTCGACTCGATACGCATCGAAGACCAGTCTCTGGCTCAGGAAGCCGCTCACTTCACCAAGCTCTTGTACACCACTCGTTTGTCCAAATATTCGGCCCCCGAAACCCTAGCAAACGCCGCTGAAACCCTCTCAACCCACTACAATCTGGCCTCCAATCCAGACTTGCTTTTGACTCAAGCAGAGACCCTCTACACTCAGTGTCGTTTTCACGATGCCCTTGCAATCACCACGAGCATCCTCAACTCGCAAAACAGCCCTGATGGCTCAGCCGACGCCTCATCAAGCAACACTAACGCCTCGCTCGGTCACAGTCCGCGCCTCTATCCCCTACATCTCGCCGTTCTCTACGAGACCGGATCCCACAACACCCTCTTCCATCTCTCTCACACTCTAGCAGCTCACGCCCCTCACGAATCATACACTTATCTGGCTATTGGCACGTACTATCTATCAACCTGCCGCATCCCTGAAGCCCGCCGGTTCTTTTCAAAAGCATCGCTCATGGATCCACACTCGGCTGCGGCGTGGATCGGATTTGCTCATACGTTTGCCGCCGAGGGCGAACATGATCAGGCCATTGCTGCATACTCGACAGCCGCAAGATTATTCCAGGGGAGCCACCTGCCCCAGCTGTTTCTAGGCATGCAGCACTTGGCTCTAAACAACATGCGGCTTGCTTGGGAGTACTGCCTCGCAGCATTCCAAATGAGTAGCGGCACACCCAACTCAGGCTCGGAGGATGATTTGGCAAACATGATATTCAATAACACTGCTAGTCTAGGTGGAGACCCTCTGGTACTCAACGAAATTGGCGTGATATTGTATCACCAGTCCAATCTGCCGGCGGCTGCAAAGCTATTCCACAAGTCTCTCCAACTCGCTTCAGAATTGGGTTGCAACATGACCGCATGGATCGCAACAAGAGCAAATCTAGCACATTCACTCAGACGAATGGGAAGATTTGAGGAGGCACTTGCCGAATTTGACGAATGCTTGAGAATAGCTACAGGGGGAGCAGCTCCTGCGTCAGCTTACGAGCCAGGACGCGGAATGACAGCCTTTGCCCATCTCAGTCTCGCCGGCACCGGCACAAGTCTCAGTTCTAGCGGAGCAGTTAGCGGCTATGACGAGCGTAATCTTATTGGAAGTATCCACACCAGTCGCGGTTTGGTCCTTCTCAGCATCGTGGGGCGCACAAAGGAGGCGGTAATGGCTCTTCATGAGGCTGTACGAGTCCTTGGTGGCGATGCCGGCGGTGGTGGTGTCGCAGGAACGTTGCTGAGTCGCGCGTTGCAGTTCTGGTCCCTAGAAGGGAGTCCGGCTCTCAACGGCCTCGAAGGCACATTACAGCAAGGATCACCTGAACCTACATCAAAAGTCGGCACAAGGTCGAAGCGTAGAGGAAACGAGGCTGCAGCATCAACCACAACAACGGGACGAATGAGTAACGAAGGGAAAATCGAGCAACGAATGGACGGGCATGCGGATGAGATTTTGAATGCTGCTTTGGGTTCTGTACGATAAAAAGGTGTTGATCGAGAAGACGTTGAGTTGTGCTTCTCTGGGTTTCGTTGCGTTACCACCTGAGCTCTAAGCTTCAGCCCCCCTATCGAGTACCAACTGTACTGCCGTGGTACAATGAAATGCAGAGTCTAATTCAGCAGCTGGCGGTAGAGGATTGATTTCTGGACTCAAAGGACCGGGATCAATGAAAAAAGAATATTACTACTATCGAGCCCTTGGATACCCGACCGAGGATTGTTTGATTTTGCTCTGCTACCTACAACCAAGAAACATGCACGCTGGTGGGCTACGCGGCATGACAAACCAAACAGGAAAAAGAAGCAAGCCACCCTTGCGCATTCATCCCCCTTTCCCGTTTCCCATTCCCTCCGTACCCCTTTTCTTTCGCTGAAGGCTCGTTCGTGGACGCATCAAGCAAGCACCAGCCATATGTCAGATCAGATTCGAGAGAGGCACACACGAAGCAGAATAGCCACCATACTCATGTTTCCCTTCCTTCTCGCCAGGTCGCATGCATATTCTCTCGCCAAACCTGCCCCGTTCTAGTCGGGAGCAGTATCATATTCCAATTGTGTGAAAATGATGATGAGATGAGGTACTGGACTGTCCTGTGCCGTAGGGGCCTTCCCCTCGCCCAAAAACGCCGCCGCCGAGTAAATTGAACCGCCGTCGCCCAACCCAATCGTCAATTCCCGTAGGCCATTTTCACTTGGTCCTTAATATTTCCCTATCGAGCCTCGAAGAAACGCCATGCTGTGAGCTGTTCAGACCCAGAAGACCGAGACCGAGACCGAGACCGCCTTAGCAAACTCATGAATGTATTTGAACAAAGACCCATACGCTGGAGAACACCCTGCACCCGTATCGATACCAAGTCGGATCCATTAATCCATTGTTGGGTGAAACTCCTTCACCAGCTTTTCTCTCCAAAGACTGCCATTTAAAGCCAAGGCATCCACAACCCATCCATTCCACTAAGCCGCGTAGGATCGGTCGCCTTACTGACCAAGTCCACTACGTTCTGACACGCAGGAAGGACACCTGTGACGCC